CTCTCTCTCTCTCTCTCTCTCTCTCTCTCTCTCCCTCTCTCTCTCTTTCTCTCTCTCTTGCTGTGTCCACGTATTTGTCTGTGTATACACTGCTCTCCATATGTCAACGTTCACCACGACCGGGCAGAAAAGGAAGCTGGGCGGAGAGTCATGCAAGGATGGATGACTTCCTTCCCCTTTGATGCATGTGGGAAAAAAGGGTGATGGCTCCAAGGCGAAAATACGAGGATCTGTGAAGGTCTTTGAAAACCGCGGGAAAGAAGGACAAGTGCCGGAAGAAATCGGGGGCTGAGAAGAGGGAGTCGAAAGAGCATCGCAGAAGCGGTACCGGTCTCTCCGCGAAAACGGTGCACAGGCGCAGGCGTAAATCCGGGTCGAAAGTTACAGTCCCTTCGAGTGAACGGGACATTTCAACGCTGAAACAACGTAACGAGTCGCCCCCCTCGACCCCTGTCGGGGGAAAGCGCGGAAGAGGCGCCGAGAACCGTCCGCCGAGGGCCCCAGAAAAAAAATCGCGGGATGATAGAAGCGCGACTACTCACCGGAGTTCAAAGAAGAGAATATCCTACAAAGAGGAGAGACCAGTGGAGACAATCGATCTTGGAGGGTCTGACGACAGGCACAGCACACCCCAAGCGGAAGAAGAGGAGGAACACGACCGTTCCACGCCAGAGAAGTCAGACGGTGCGGAGGATGAGGAGGGGGGAAACGAGGGAGACGACAGCGGTCCTTCCCGCGGGCAGTCACAAGACACCAACGAGGACGACAACAGCGACGGCAAATCAGCCAGCCAGAGTACCGGCGAAGACCGGAGCGCCGGTTCGGAAGGAGATGATTCGCCATCTCCTTCGAGGACGCTGCGCAACGAAGGAGAACGGCAGGCATGCAATGGCAGCGACACCGAGGAGCCTGTCGGTGACAGACAAATCGTGCAGCACGTGAGCGCCACTGAAAAAGGTAAAAAACCCGCGTCGCACTCGCTCCCCTCCCACTCACGAGCAGCTAATCCTGTGCCCCCACGGGGCGCAAACCTTCACGCACGGAAAAGGGTTTTAGTGAACGCACTGTTAATAGCTGAATCTTCCAATTACCAAGTGCTGTATTCAGAACAAGGCGCCGAGTTGCTAACACTACCCTGTGCGTTGTGTCTTGTGTTTCCCTGCCCATCGCAACGTCAGGAACAAAAGCGCGCGCAAGGGGCATAGCCGCGCAAGGACTCAACGAGGAGGGCGCTGTATTAGCGAAGAAAATGAAGGGCAAGCTGTTGCGTTCCGTCGCCAAGGCCTTTGCGTTCTCTTCGGCGAACGACGCAACTCTATACCCTACAGAGGACACGTTTTTCGCGGCGGTGCAAGCGACGGCCAAACTGGCAGGGGGGACAACAGAGGAAAGGATGCGGTCTCATATTGCAGAGCGCGGGATTCGAGCTGTCATAGGGGAATGCAACAAAATTATGACGACGATCCGCGGAGAGATTACCTGGCAGCTGAAGCATTGGTTCTGGGCAGAAAAAGGGATTCCGCTGGTCGGATCGCAACAATCGGACCACCACCTCCCCGCTCGCAACAAGATGCGCGCCGAGATGAAAGAGAACAAGACATGGAGACGGAGCGGCGACGATCCGTGGGGCGCCCCCGCCTTCAAAACGGCACTCTTAAAAGTTTTCCAGATGAGGAAGGAAGGACGAAACCTCGGCGTCACCCTGCAGCAACTCGCTTTCGC